AATTACCAGGGGTGTCTCTACTCCCCTTCTTGAACAAGGGGACAACACTTGCTAGTCTCCAGTCTTCTGGCACCATTTTTCATATCCGGCCAATCAGACCATAACCCATTTATACATACTGTTTTCTGCCAACTGGCCAGTTCTGTATCCGTGAGCTTTTTATTTTCTGCAGTAATCTTTGGATATGGCACCTTCTCACATCTTCTGGAAATCTATGTATGGTATTTCTACAGTCTCCCCTTTATCCACAGTGCATGTCACTACTTTAAAGAGTTCCCACAAATTAAATAAACCATAATTCAAGATGGTTTTCCTTTGACAAAACCTTCACTCACGCTTCCCAATTACCTTAAGGTTTTCTAGGCATGTCTGTATAGTATTTCTAATGATCAATTCTGACACTTTCCGCACAACAGACATCTAGCTAAGGGGCCTAAAGTTTCCTATTTTCCACCTCTTTCCCTTCTTGAAGAAAGGGATAATATTTGCTATTTTCCAGTCTGGTGCAACTTTTCCTGAATCAAGGGAATTTTGGAAAAGTAACATCAGCACATTTACCTTATTAGTCATCTCTTTTAAGATCTTAGGATGGAGTTTAGCTGGACCCAGGAAGTTGTCAGCCCACAGCACCAGCTGTTTGTTTTGAAGCTTTCTAATAACAATTTCACTAGGCTTCTGTCTCCCTTCCACCTCCTAATTTACAGCATTACTGAAAATTTTTTGAATCTTTTATAGTGAAGACAGAAGCATGACATTTGTTCATTTCCTCAGCCAGTTCCTCATTATCTATTGAGTCTTCAGTCTTGTTCTCTAGAGGACAAAGGCTTAGTTTAGAACACGCAGTTCTTTCGGTTTTTGTTATGTAATACTGTTACATCTGATTCCAACTTTTCCCACTCAAATTGCAGAATAAATTCTATCATATTATGGCCATTGTGTCCTAAGGTCATGACAGGCAATTTTCTTTTACACAGTGATTTGTGTGTGCAATGAACTTCCAGATGAAGTGTTGTACAGTTACAACAATTTGGATAAATACATGAATAGGAAAGGTTTGGAGGAACTGAAAGAACTGCGGATGCTGTAAATCAGGAACAAAAACAAAGTTGCTGGAAAAGCTTAGCAGGTCTGGCAGCATCTGTGAAGGAGAAAACAGAGTTAACATTTCAGATCTGGTGACCCTTCCTCAGAACATGGGCCAAGGAATATGGGCCACGGGGGAAGGTGGGTCTGAATCAATTTGGGAACATGATCAGCATGGACTGGTTGGACCGAAGGGTTCCTTTCCATGCTGTATGACTCTATCATATTCTTCAAATGATCATGATCTTGGAAATCAAATCCTGGCAGGTATCTGGCTTATTCTCAGTGCTGGGATTGTAACATAAGATGCATATTGGTAATGTATATCTCTGTGAATAAAACTTCATGGAAGTGTGGAAAAATGAGTTCTATTTCTATCCGTCTGATATCGAATGGCTTGGTTACATTTTGATGCTTTCTGTCTCAAATTTTGGTGAAAACTGCTTTATTTTAATTGTTTTCTGGACGTGATTAACATGATGCTCACTTTCACATTTTATTGATCAATCGATTTATTTTGAATTTATTCTGAAATTTAGGCTTGATGTGGCTACAGCAGTTCAAAGCTGAGGTGAATTTGCGACATACATGTGAGCAGGGTGATCGGTTACCTGGGTATGGCTGGCTCATGCATGATGGAATCAACTTTGGTGTACAGGAAATTAAAGACAATGATTTCATTTTAACAACTGAGTTTGTGAAACGTCTTGGTGGACGGCATGGTGGAGATTGGACATGGCGAATTACCGCTAAACCACAGGTATGTCTATACATATTTCTTTTGAAAATATGTTTGTTTCAAATGGTTATATGATCATCAGACCCTATTATTTGGACTGAAATTTGATACTTCATCAGGTATGCATGAATCTATGTGGTTGCTAGAGGATTTTGATTGGATTTACTGTTGTCACATGTACCCAAGCGCAGTGAAAAGTTTTTGTTTTGAGAGCAGTGCAGGAGGATTTTAAGGATGGAGTCAATTTGGCCAGATAAAACGTGATCAACGGCAATATTCAGTGTGGTCTACAGACCACCACCTAATGGAAAGGACATAGAGGAACAAATCTACAAGGAAATTACAGAGAAATGCCAGCAGTATAGAGCAGTTATAATGGGAGACTTCCTGAAATCTTGACAGGGGTACCAGAAGTGTAAGCATTCCTGGATTTTGTTCAGCATACAATCAGTGGACACCCAGAAAACGGTGGGTAGGTGAGGAAGAGTCAGTCTAAATTTCTAAAGGGGAAATGGTGTTTAGCTAACTTGCTCCTGTCTTTTGAAGAGGGTAACGGAAAGGATTGATGACGATCTCATTGACGACATGGTATAAATTAATTTCCGGAAGGCATTTGATACACTGCAAAAGTTATAGGTTATGGTATAAAAGGTTAGGAGCAAAATTGGCTGAGTGATAAGAAACAGAATGTAATGGTAAAAAGTAGCAGAATTCACCATCGAGTGACTTAACTGTTGTGAAACACAAGATATTAGAACAATTTGGCAAACAGGTTTGTGAACAAATTAAATAGTGACTTTATTTTGTACATTTGTTGCTTAACTGTTTTTGTTTTTCACTTTTTGACAATGTGTTTGTAGACAAAGTGAGTTACGTAGGGGCCTCCTCAGCACTCTTGAAACTTCACTTTACATGAATTTGTAGGGGAATCTCCTGGGAATAACTAATTGAGATTTTAGTATTGCCTTCCCTTCAGTGTTGGATCAAAATGCTGGAACTCCCTTCCTAGCAGCATAATATAGTCATACAGCACAGAAACAGATTCTTCAGTCCAACTCATCCATGCTGACCATGTTTCCCAAACCAAACTAGTCCCATTTGCCTGTTTTTGACCCATATCCCTCTCAGCCTTTCCTATTCACATACCTGTCCAAATGTCCTTTTAAATGTTGTAATTGTACCCACCATTGCCACTTCCTCTAGCAGTTCATTCCACATGTGCATCACGCTCTGTGTGATTAAAAAAAACCTCATGGCCTACCCAGACTCTCCTTATAACTCAAACTTTCCAGTCCTGGTAACATCTTTGTAAATGTTTTCTGCATCCTTTCTAGTTTAATAACTTTCTTCCTATAGCAGGGCAACCAGTACTCCAAACATGGCCTCACCAACATCACGTACAACCACAAAATGATGTCCCAACTCCTATACTTATCTGTGTACTTAGCCCACACAGACTGCAGTGGTTTAAGAAGGCAGCTCACTGCCATTGTAATGAAGGAAAGTTAGAAATGAACAAAAAAATTACCTAGCCAGTATTGTTTATTCTGTGAAAGCTTTTCAAAAAAGCTGTAAGGGGCAGGGCTCTCTACTTTTGCAAAAGTAGTATTACTTATACATGCACACACAAGCACGTGCACACACTCTGATTTTGCTGCCAGACCTACTGAGCTTTTCCAGTAACTTCTGTCTTTGTTCCTGATTTACACCATTCACAGTTCTTTCACTTTTTATTTAGTACTTAACTCACTGTCACATCTCCTCTAGGCATGCCCACCTTGGAGAAATTCTGCTCTTCTCTCTAACGGTATTTCTATTCCAATCTTTTTCTTGCCCACTGACACTCCCGGTGTTTGACCAGGTATTTGCTAAAACCTGTTTCCACAGCCATACCAGTTCTGAGGAAGGGTCACTGAACCCAAAACATTAACTCTGACTTCATAGAATCCCTACAGTGTGGAAACTGGCCATTTGGCCCAACAAGTCCACACTGCCCCTCCGAAGAGCATCCCACCCAGACCCATTCCCCTACCCCTGATTTCCCCATGTCTAACTCACCTCACCTAAACATCCCTGGGCACTATGGGCAATTTAGCATTGCCAATCCACCTACCCTGCACACCATTGGACTGTGGGAGGAAACCGGAGCACCCAGAGGAAACCCACGCAGACACTGGGAGAATGTGCAAATTCTACATGGATAGTCGCCCGTGACTGGAATTGAACCTGGGTCCCTGGCGCTATGAGGCAGCAGTACTAACCAGTGAGCCACTGTGCTGCCTGACTTCTCTTCACAGATGCTGCCAGACCTGCTGAGCTTTTCCAGCAACTTCTGTTTTTGTTACAGTATTACTTATCCTTGGTAAAGATAGGACAGTGATGTGTTGTGATTTTTCATAGGCAACCTGTTTTTGATTATAGAGTTCTACCCCAGAGAACCCAGTGATATCGTTATTGTTTTATGTTGCTGGTGATGGAGAAGTAATACTTCAGCCACACATTGAGGAAAAAAGCAAGCTCATGGCGGTGTCCGGTTCATCAGAGGAACTGGGCAAATTCACACTTACCTTCCTGGCACCAACTACATTAAAATCCAGGAATTATAAGTATGCCAGGTAAGATTAGCTCTTTGTATCAAACAAACTGGAAATTTATGTTTTGAAAAGAAGTTTGAAGTCACGCTTAGTTGCAGAGCTATTTTAAATATGTTTGTACTTTCTTACAGAAGTATTGTACATGTAGGTGTACATTCACACCCTGCTTTGTTATATAGGGGCACATTCACTTGAATTATTTTATGCACAGCTGTATATTCTCACAGTAAAATCTACAGAGTTAGTGTGTGTAGAGAAGTTTATTTTCACCTGTGCTTTAACTTGATCTCTATGTATGCACTATACATAGAGGGCATTAGAATTGTCTTGATAGTAATGGTGTGCAAGAGCATGAGGAAAAGGCAGGAGATTGGCACCAGATAATAGAGGTGGTGAAGGCACAATGGGTCAAATTGCTTCCTTCTGCATTGTTATGATTCTGTGATACAGACATTAGAGAACTATGGTTTATGAAGGTGTCCATTCATATATATTCACAGAACTACAGTATGTGTAGGGGTATTGCCCATTATTTATAGTTGTATTTAAGTTTCTTTCAGCGCAGTCAGTGCAGGTATGTAACAAGAAACTCATACTGAATAGTTGCCGAGCATTTATGAAATCTTTACAGATACTGACTACACAGAATCTGCAAATTGAGTGTATTGCCACATGAGGTTTTTCAACTGAGGATGTGCAATGCTTAGAGGCTGAGGCAGCTCTTTTTATAATTCTAGATTTGTGGTCTGTTTATATTTGGTGTGTTGAGGGGTGACCCTGGACACGTTGGCCAGAAATCTTTCAATTGTGCAAGAGTTATGCAGAAGGAGTAACCTGATAACGGGGAGAAATTGTTCATATTGAAAATTCCCACCTTGTTTGTTCAGCTTTGGAGCGATAACTCTAAGGAAAATGAATAAGGTTTTTGGGAGTCACTGAGGACTACAAGTAAAATATGCATTTTTATTCATTGCAAGTGACACCGAATTTATCGTAAGTCTTTTCATTTCACTTATTTAAATTGGCAGGATCGAGCAGACAAAAAATTATTCTATTTTCTAATTTGATTTTGGAGAACCTTTTTCATTGCTTTATTCTGTTTGCTTGTTGTAGACTGCACGCTACTCAGAATCATGGAATAGTTACAGCACAGAAAAAGACTATTCATCAGGAGGTGACAGTTGTGGTCCCACAGGAGTCTGTGCTCTTGTTAGAACTAACAACAATCACACAAGTGAAGGGACTATGAGGAGGCAATGGCCAAGTAGTATTATTGCTAGACTATTAATCTAGAAAGTTGGCTAATATCCTGGGGAGATAGTAGGAACTGCAGATGCTGGAGAATCCAAGACAACAAGGTGCAGGGCTGGATGAACACAGCAGGCCAAGCAGCATC